AACTTACGGGGGGGGGGAGGGGCCCCCCCCTTTTTAAAAAAAAAAAAAAAAAAAAAAGAGGGGTGGATTCTCCTCTTCTGTATGCCATTATTTGCTCCAGTGTAGTTACAGTAACTCCAGTAGACATACTCAATATTTACACTTGTTTAATTGAGAAGTAACCCCTTTTGTTTGTCCTGATGAAACGAAGACTGAGTAAAAACAGGGAAAAGGCGGCACAGTGTGTGTTTCTGCCAGAACTGGGACAGACTAACAGTGGTTAAGGAATGGAGGAAAGAAATATTTGAGAATTCATGATATTAAAGCATTAAGGAAAATGAGAGGATATATTCTGATGATTATTCTATTAGTTACCTACTGAAAGAGACTGAATGCTGGGGTACCTTTTGCTGTACTACACATAGTTAGAAATATTCCAGAGATGAACTCTATGTAGATACACCATGATTCCATAGCTTAGAAACAGTCTGTCAGGAAAAGCAAGTATACATGAAAATTGCCTTTACAGTAACTGATTAGAACACTCACCGATCTCTCTTCTTTTCTGATTGCCCTACAATTGTTGCATGCATTTGCAGAGAGATACATATTGACTTGATCAGTCTTACCTTCTTTCAGCATGCCAACTTTTAGACACTTCATGAAGCGGCAGGCTTGGCAGGATTTGCGTCTGCGCTTTGTGATTTCACATTCATTCGTTGCTGGGCAGCTGTATTCTATGTTACCTGTAACGGAAAGTACAGGAAACGAGAGGTATTCAGAATCACTGACTAACCAACACAATGGATATACAAAGTGGGCATACAATTGCTGTTGTGTTTCATTTTGGAATATATCAAGAGTAAACAGTGCTATAGAAAGGAAACACCTTTCAAATAAAAATGAAAAGCTGACTTAAAGCATGAGCTTTTTGACCTTTTTTTTTTTTTAAATCTAGACAGCTATATGAAAAAAAAAATACACAAACCCACAAATTAATGTGAGTCTGTGTCTGGCTCCATACATGTTCCCTAGCAAAATCCTTCATGTTGGTTATTGCTGCTGGTAGGAGGAAATTTTCGCGTCTGTACCAAGCCGCATCCTTAGGCTCCTAGCCTAAGCACTCTTCGTTTCCTTTTTTTCACCAATTTCATCAGTCTTTCTTTGTGTAGAATATGAAAACGAGACTGTTGTGTTTTATTGCACAATCAACTGTAACAGGTACTACAGAGCTTCACCCTTCTCCTTCCACAGCAGCAGGCACAATGTATCAAGCAGGGCTCACCAGCATTGCTACCGCCCCATCTGGCATGTTCTACAGCTGCTGCGTCAGGCCTCTCAGCCAGGACATCTCCCCTTCTCTCTATACTTTAGACAGAATTGTTGTACTGAGAAGCATCAGAAATAGCATCATTCCTACCAAGTTGTCAGAATAACAAAAACTGGAGGAGATGCTTGCCTCTGCCTCTCCCAAGTCTCCTTAAGGCCTAGAATAAGCTAGATCCTGAAATGTGAGCCCTCTTGGGCAAAGCAGTGTCTCCATTTTTTTTTTTGATACTGCTTAGTACATATTATTTAGCCTCAAAAATCAGAAGAAAAAAAAAAAAAGGCCTGAAAATTAATGGGTAAAATACATATGAGTAATTTTTTTTACATTTTTTAAAATCATATCTTTGGGTATCCAAGTCCAAATGGGAGAACATCTGTTCTCTTTTGCCCTAGTACCACTGCACTTTTCATAAAACAGCTTAGCTCAGCTTATTCATCTGCCCAGCCAAGCATCCTATTGCCCATGACTACATTGAGTATGACAGACTTTGCAGCAGTCAGAAGTTTCGCCAGGAAACTGACTTTTAAATAAAGTATCTTCCCCATCAGCCTGTCACATCTTGCTTTAAAGGTATTTCTTTACTTTCTAACCCTTTCCCCCTGTGATTAAGTGCATTAGTATCTTAATGAAAATGCATTCTGTTTATTGCCCTCTTGGGAAGCAAGAGGTCATCACACCAAATGCATAAATTGTCATCAGAGACAGTCCGAGCATAATTGCAATTTTGCTGCTCCATGTTTGCCGCACTCAGGGTCCGTCAAAGTCCCCTGAAACATGCGCAGGTTCTAATAATTAGCATAGAGTCTGCCTGGGACCACAGCATTGATGAAATATTTCAGAGTTAATCACACTTTGTAAACACTGATTTATATTGACTACCTTTCTCCAGACTGATGTCTCCTCATTAAATATCACATTAGTGGATTGCAGGATTGCACAAAGACTCGAATGCTCAGCAGCTGCTAATTCAACAGGAAGTAATACTTAAACCACTTACATCTATTGAAAATTGGTTAAGTATTTATCATAAAGGAGGTCTGCATGGTGCAATGCATATTCTGCCAATACAACCAGCATACTTTGCACAACCTTTTCAGGCCTTCGTGGGCCTTCTTCCTCCTTAACATTGCTGCATAACTGACTTAGCAATGCTGGTGAGTAAAACAGATCTTGGTATGTCTGAATGCTAATGGTTCTTGCTGACAAAACTCAAATGTCAGTTTAGTCCTCTTCCCCTTCCTTAGCTCCTGAGAAGAAAGCTATTTAAGCAACTGAAGGAGACTGTGGGTAGGAAATTCAGCACAACAGTTCCTGCAAAGCTTCTTTCCAATACGCATTAGCAAAATTAGGAAATAACACTTCTGGAAGGATACGTAGGAAAGGATAGTAAGGGTAAGCTTAAAAAAGAAAAAGGGTTCACATTGTCCTCTCACACTCTTAACGAGGCATTCTTAGTGAGGCACAACCGCTACACAGGGAGACCTTCAAAGCCTTTCACAAATTGTATCCAGTTAACTTCATCATATTATAGCAATAAATGTATTACCATCCCTATTTAAAAAAAAAGAAACAGGGCATCAGAAATGCTTTGCACAAGATCAAAGATATCTTTGAACAAGGTCAGAAATGATCTTGATCAAAAACAAGATCGAGATTACAACACAGAACATCAAGCAGCAAAGCTCTGTACCGAAGCAAGAGGAGCACTCACACTATAGCCAGAGCACTTGTGCAAAGGCACAGATGACAAAGGTACAGATGTCGACACCAAAAACTAGTATTCAAAACCAGTAAAATATAAGCAAGATTACTTATTTCCCTAAGTAGATACTTATAATCCATACCCTGACATTTCAGTTTTGTGCAAAATCCCGCGAAACACGGCAAGGGTCTGTAGCGTCCAACACATTGTGCACAGACAATGTAACTTATTTTTCCTGCAAACTCTTGTCACCTAAAGAACTTTAAAATGAGCTATTATTCTAGTCACTTAGATTACAGTATGTTAGCTTACAGGGGGAATCTTCTTCTACCAATTTAGGCTGCTTTACTTTTACTGTAAAATATAATTCATTAATGTTCAATCTTAAGTTTTGATGTTAGAAAATAAACTTGGAAGATGTTGGAGAGAGTTCCTCCAATGCACACAGTAGAGTTACAGTAACTGGATTTATTGCTGCAGCAAAGATCCACATCTTCCTAACGGTCACAGCTGGTTCCCCGAAAGTGTTCCAGCATCTTAGAACGTGGCTAGACCGCAGCAAGAGTTCAAGAAAACTAACGTTTTGTCACCACTTCACACGTGAATGCAGTATTTTATCAAATATTCCCATGGATAGACTTCATTTCTGTCAGTGAGCTTTCCTTAAAAAAAAAAAAAAAGCAACAAAAAAACCCAACCAAACAAAAAAAAATGACAAAAACCTCATGGAATTTTGCAATGGATATGTACCTGGGTATGTACCATACTCAAAATACATTTTACCTAGCACTCAAAGTATTAGTGGATATATTTTTGGTAAAAACCTAAATTTACTGCACATTGCAGGTCAGCAGAGCTCTCATAACTTCTTATTTGCTTCTATACACTAAAAATAAAGAAATAGAAATTATTTTAAGAAGTGGTTGGGAATCTGTACAATTTCATTGGTACACTACATCCATTCAAGGTGCTCAGATCTGCATTTTATTTCAATGAGGAAGATTCAGAAGGAAGCTCTACCATTTACTTGTCTACTGCATGATGCTAGAGGCTGAAACTGAGCAGCTAGTAAAAGTTGAGTTTGCCCAGTCCTGTCAACAGTTGGAGAGATAGCTGTGTTGTACAGTGAACAAAATCAACATGGCAGCTCTGAGTCTTTAAACTGGACTGACAAGAACGATCGAGCAATTTATAATATCTCCTGGCTGGTTTTCAGAAAGGACCGGGCTCTGATTACTTATTTGAGAGTCTTTTGTACAATTAGTTTGCAGGCAATATAATTTTCTCACTTACTCTTTAATAGAATCGTGCAGCTAGCTGGCTGATAGAATAACAGCATATACGTAAAACTCCCGCCTGAAGTGCCAGAGGATAATTTGTATATTCCTTTCAGTAGCGTAATGGACTTTTACAGTTTGGCAGTTAAAGGGCTGAGTAACGTAAATTAGTATGACATTTGAAAATAAAAATATATGTCAAATCTTCACTCCCCAAACACATTGCCCTGTGCTATAATAATACAACGGGATTTATGCCAGCCTGAGTCCCTTTTCTCTCCTCATACACTGAGGAATGTTTATTTCAAAACAGTTCCTTTTTTCTACTAATTTGTTAAATTTTATTATCTCAGCCAAAAGATGAGAAAATACTTCTAATACACTGTGCAGCTAACACACAAGAGCAACTGACTCACTAAAAATATGATGCCATTTGATCTTGAGATAGCAGGTGAACTACTAAAACTTACGCTGCATAACCGGCCCTCTGGTTTTAGATGCTTCAGACTGTCAGATCTTTGAACACAGCTTGAGGATAACTGGGCCAAGATACCATTTTTTTCATCTCATACATGAGGTTTGGAAGTTACCTGAATGAGATGTAGAGTCAGAGTACACTTTTAATGGTACAGGGACTTACTCGACGGCTTTACAAGCCAGGCAATCGACTAGACTTAGCCAGGATTCTCGAGACCATTTTGGCCATTTCTTGCACAGAAGCGACAGTGCCACTCGAGGTAACAGAAGAGGAGGAGTGAGAACCATGACAAAGAAGAGGCCACTGAAAGCACTGGGCCTTATGCCTTGGCACCTTATCCCAAATGAAGTTATTGTCATCAACAGTTACAACTTTAGAACCTCACAGATATCAAGAGTGCAAAGCTGGCTCTAGAAACTGGCTCCACTCTGTGGGACAGGCTGAAACAGGGGTCTCTCTTCCAGAAATACTGACAAGAATAGAAGCTGCAGACAGCAATTCTTAGCAGCAGCTTTATTTCTCTTTTCACACTGCGACATTTGATATTATAACACTAAAGATGTAAAAGGATTACTATGAGCTATTGGAATATGCCCAGAAAAATCTCTGGATGAGTAAAAGACATGAGGAAGATTGAGATACAGGGTGAAAACGTGTTTGAGAAGAGTAGCCATGAGCCACTTACAAAAGCAGGAGGAATGCTTAAGATATCGGTATTGAAACTTTTACTGTGTGGGAATGTAGGTCCAGAAAAAAAAAAAAAGAAGAAGAAAAAAAAAAAAGAGCAAACAAACAAAAGGGAATTAATTATTCCTTCAATGTAATAACAGTATGCTATAATCAGCTCATGAAACTGTATTTCAGTATCTCTTTGTTTATATCCAGTAACACCCCATTTTTCTCCCAAACTTTCTCTTTGAGCTTCTGTAACCTAATACCTTTTTTCAAAAACTTGTATT